TTCTTGCATTGAGGGAATATTTGAGTGGAGGTCCAATGTCCACCTGCAACCTTAATACTAAACCTATAAATATATGCACATAGCTCTATTTCCACATCATCATATATAAATATATTTACATATGTACATGCCTGTGTTTAGACATCTATAATTGTCCTCTGCCTCCTAGTTCTTTCCTCTATTTCCTTTTACTTTCCTCTTGTCCCACTATCATGCTCAACCTTCATTTGGGTTTCAGTAATTCCTCTTGGTTACATTACCCTTGATCAAGCCCCACCAGGCCTCCTACTAAGGTGACCAGACATTCCGCATTTTGCGGGACAGTCCTGCTTTTTGACATTTTTAAAAAGTCCCGATTTTTGGAAAGAATGTATGACAAGCTAGGGAATGGTCTATTTGGTCCATATAGACCAAATTTTTAATCAAGAACCCCACCACCACCACTCTGGTCAATGGTGTCATGCTTTAAATCAGGTCACCTTATCCTACACCCTTCTCACTATTGATTTTGGATCACTTGTTGTTCCCTTGTCCCTGGGATTGTTAACACCCACTTCCTTACCCCACCACCACCAACCCCTTCTCCCATGTCTCCCGGAACCATCGGTCCCATTGTTTTCTCCTCCAGATTGTTTATCCCGCCTATCTTAACTAGATAGACGTGCAGACATAATAATGTGCACAAAAAACAAGATAGAGGAAAACAAAGCAACAAACAACAACAACAAAAAAAACAATGACAAAAAAAGAGAAAAGCCTGTAAATAGTTCAGGGTCTGTTTGTTGACCTTTAAGAGTATTTTCCAGTCGAATCTAATGGGGTGCCACGCCCTGGCCCCAAGGTCTATTTTTGGTATTCCCTCGTGACTTCCTTGCTCTGCTCCCCTTGCTGTTCTGTTGCACGGCCCTTATTTTGACACTTTCTGTCCAACTCTGCTGCTACTTTGTTGTTTTTCCATGTCTGTTGGTTCCTGTTTTCTTAAGGAAGAATGTGCTTGTTTATTCCCCAACCACTCCCAATAAATCTGGATGATCAGAGGCATTCTCACGGTAGCTTTTGATGAGATGGCGCCAGGCATTGCACAGCATCTCACCCCACATTCTCTGTGTGAACCCTTTAGCTATGTGGTTTAAGAAACACCAAACCATTTACCTCGCCAAATCTTCTCTCCTGCATAGTGATAGATCAGTTTCTCTTCCAACCTGGTCTGGGATTCCACCTACGTCATCCTTCCCACTCAGACGTCATAGGCAGGTGCAGGGCTTCCAGAGGGACCCTCTTCGGGAATCTGTAGGCTTGTTCTCTCACTGAGCAGCGTTATCAGATTAGCTCATTGTCGTCATGGAGGGCAGAATTAGGATTGTGTAAATGGAGAAGGGCAGGGCTGTGGGACACTCTAAGGGTGTCAAGTTAGGACAAGTGGGTATGGGCAGTTACTAGGGGGAAACCCGATCCATTACAGGAGTGGTTGGGCAGGGAAATCAGAAGAAAGATTTGTTTCCTATCTTTGCCCGGAAGCACCTATGTGTACTGAGATGCCCGATCCTCAATATGTTAGTGAGATGTATCAACCCATCTGCCTGAGCCTGGCTTCCCGCTCCTAATCTGCTTGTGTCTTTTGTGCATTCTCCTTCCAGTGACTTTTCCATCTCGCTGCCTAATTTAGGTAAGTGACGTGTGTTGCTTCCCGGCATAGAACTACTTAGTATGAGTATATTCAAGGGCAGGAAAAGAAAGTGACCATCCTTCCTGCTGGCCCACATTTAATGAAAACTCGATGCATCAAAATAAAGAGGTCTTATTTCACAACAGCAGCTTCCAGTGGGGAAGACGTGCCACGTGTCTCAAGTGCCTTCTATCTCTGAGGTCCTCTAGGAGATACCACCACTGAAAGATTCAGAGATACGGTGATCACCCCACCACCTGTACAAGTACTTCCCACCTTAGGACACGCTCCAGTTATGTCCACCTGCACTTAGCTCTGGCTGGGGGGTTTGCTTTTGCTCTGCTTTGTTTTTGACACCTCACATACTAATACAGCGTTAAAACATTTTAGGTAGTTTGCATGTGATGTTTCCAACCCCCAAGACAATAAAGACCAGATTGATAAAGATACTGATACTAAAAGGCAACAAGAATGCCAAGTGAAAATAAATAAATGAATAAAGGGAAGTATTATATTTATGTCTGAACCCCCTTAGACAATGGAGTTGTCAGAATGGAAGCCTGTCATAATTCAGGAGTACTTGTACACAAGTGATCTGAGGCCTACACCTGAGTCTGTCTGCACACAAAGCTAGTGCTTTTAGCATTTTACCATACAGACTCTTCCAGGATTGGATAGCCAGATCACCCGAATGAAGATATTAAATAGGTTCAATCATGTTGCAGTACTCACACTAATTGAATCAAGGATAGATCATCAAAAGGTTGTTTGCTTTGCCATGAAAACAATCGTGCTTCAATTACCCCAGCACCTGATACCCAGTGCACTTGTTACACAGTTAATGAACAGAATTTGTCAGCGAAAGGGGACCACGTGCTCTGTGTGTTGGTGTTTGTGTATGGGCTCCAGCAATTGGGGCTCCTGGGGTTTCATTCTGGCATTGCAAGGCAAATGTATATCAAAAACACAAGTGTCAGTTGGCTGAGTTACATAATAAACAGCTACCTATGTATCAGGTAAAGCCTCTCAATATGTCCTTAGCATGTGCAGAAAACAAACACCCAAAGGACTTTGACATGGCATGCACTGAACCTAATCAAATATGATGATATTGGAAAGTAATTAAAGTGATGCTCATGCTTCTGAATAATTATGCCAGGGGGTTTCAAAGTGATCAAGGGGTGAATCACCCCCAAATCATGGAATTATTTATGAAATATGAAAGCATATGGGTACTACACATTTACAATATGCCATGTTCCATTTTTTTACAAGATTCTTATAAAGGAGACGATGCAATGATTTACAATTAGATGGGAATAAAAAAATCAACATTACTACCCCATTTACTTGTTTGTTCACTTATATCAAGAAAAAAAAAGACCTACTATTCTAATAGAACGATGGGGACCTAGCCTAAAAATAGTTTCCAATGACAGTTAATTTTCATGAAATCAAATTGATATAAAAATGTGTAAGTGTGTTTGTAATACAGGATCAGATCACTGTTTTTAGTTCTCATTCAATTTCTTCCCCAAAAGAATCGTTTTGTTGTTTGGTCCTCCCATAGTCTATCTGTAGTTAATGATCAACTTTTAGTAAGTAAGCTGGGGGATGCACCTAGATAATTATAAGTAGTTTTGCATAACTTGGAAGGTGAAGGATTTTATTAGCGATGCCTAATAATGGACTGTTTCTACCCTATCTTGACCCTAGAATTTAGGTCTCGTGAAGTTATCATCTATGATGATGTGGTCAGTTCTGAAAGAAAGCCAAAGTAAGTCAGTTTACCTCATTGAGTAACCGTGCTGGCCTTGAACCCATTCAAACCCGTTTCCTGATGCTTTGCTAAAGTATGGTTAGGGAGCCACCTCTTCAAGATCTTAGAGATTGTATGAAAAGTAAATTTACCCCCCGAGGGGGATGAACAACAGAAATGTGGGTGAAGGGAGACAACGGACATTTTGAGATATGAAAATAATAATAATTTATCAAGGGTTCACAAGGGTGGGAGGATGGGAGAGGGAGGGAAAAAAGCGGAGCTGATACCAAGGCTCAAGTGTGAAGAAAATGTTTTGAAAATGATTATGGTAACATGTACAAATGTGCTTGATACAATTGATGTATGGATTATTATAAGAACTGTAAGAGCCCCCAGTAAAATGATTTATTAAAAAGTTTTTTAAAAGAATTTAACCTCCCCCAAAAGTCCATTTATGATTTTCCTCTAAATGATTAATAGCATTCAGTTTGGTCTTGGTTTTAAAGAAGGAAAACTAGTGGATGGCCCAGCTGATCCAACAATGGAGGGTGAGTCAAAGGTCACTGGAGCTTTGGATTTGTTTTGATTGCTTACCTTTGCATTGAACAGATTTAGAGCTCGTTTCAGCCCAACAAGCATTTATTTAGTGACCTCCTACATATAAGGCAGCATGAGTGATAGCCAGCACTATATAATAGAACTTAGGCTCCCAAAGATTAAACGACTATCATGTATCACAAAGGAAACTGTCCTTAAACGTGGTGACTTCTCACCATAGTATCTGTCTTCTCAGCCAGAAGACGGATTAAAGATCTCCTCCACTCATCCTCCATTCACCTTCCCAACTCATTGCACGTAGACTTCAATACTTCCCATGCCAGTGAAATTATTGAATTTTTTTTTTTGCAAACCTAATAGATACCCTTATTTGACTTGGTTTGATGGTTAGGGATTATATCAACTAGATGCTCCTAGATAAGGGTAGGAGTGGAGCCCAGCCTGTCAAACCTTATCACAGTTTGATGACATCTCCTTGGAGGTGTGCAAGAAAGAGAATGGGCAGAGTGGAAGCCTCTTTTAGCCCTTTGCTTTCTGTGGAGTTGGATCTTGCGTCTGGTTCCGGGTTCTCCTATTATGTTGCCTGTCAATCTCAGGAGCTGTTAGTCAACTACCAATTGTAGATTCATTTGGCGACTTTGGATTCATTTACTTCTGCCTCTGCCAACTGGTACTCGGCCACCTCTGCTTTGTCATCCTGCTTCCTGTTTATCTGCTTCCACAAGTCAGGAGAAGGCTGACTTGAACCAGGCTGGACTTACGCACTTCTCCAACTGTGCAAGCCATTTCTCCATGTAAATCTCTTTCCATATAGAGACACACACAGGCATCCCTGGTTTTGCTTCTCTAGAGCACCCACTCGGCTTTTTGGAAATAGTTTAATTATTGACTTATCAACCTTCTAAGAAAAAAAACTAAACTGAACTAATTTTTGTCCAGATTTCTTTGGTATCATCTCCTCTTCCTCCTCCTCTTCTTCTTCTTTTCAAAGTGAAATAAACAGTTTATTATATGCTTTGATCTTCAGATTTTTTTTGAAAACCATTTTATTGGGAACTCATACAAATATCATATCATGCCATAGTTCAATCACATCAAGCCATTAAAACGACAGTGCATCAATTACCCCAGCACCTGATACACAGTATGCTCGTTTGCTGCCATAATCAGTTTCACAACATTTTCTTCCTTCTTGAGCTCCTTAATATAAGCTCCCCTTTCCCCACCCTCCCGCCACCAATATACCCCCCCCCCCCAGGAGGAACCCTGATACTTGTCTCTATAGGGTCATCAATTCTGGAGTTCATTACTGAAGAAAAATCAAGAGGACTACCCACAATAACAAAATATATCAGGGATAACCCTCAATTGAAGCACAGAGACAGAAAATGGTGAAAACCAGAGCAGGCCCAACGGGTATCAGAGCAGGTATCAAGTGATAAGGTTTTTAATTGTTCAAGTCAGGTTTATCATTTTTATCTTCTGTAGTCATCTCTCCAATTCCCTATGTTGGTGAGCAGTTTATTCGCATATCTCCCTTATGATAGAGGGAAATCACCCAAGGCTTATTCCTGTGTAGATCTCACAAATGTAGCTTGGTTCCCACTGTCACTCATGGCCTCTGCAAAGCAGAATCTCATAATTTAGGCCCTGATACTATTCCCTCCTTCAGCTTTGGATTATACGGCAGACAGCCCTTGCCTCACAGATGTTGATGCACTTCTTCCATGTGGACTTAGTTGACAGGTCATGTAGATGGCTCCTTTTTTGGAAACAAGCCTTGAAGACCCCCGATGCTATTCTATCTGATAGCCAAGCACAATCTAGTTCCTTCACCACATTTTGCTAGAGCACCCATATCGTCTGTGTTCCCTTCTTGAGGGCGAGTATCGAGGAGGGCCATGATATAAGAACCAATTGATCTTCAACTGGAGCCAGTATTTAATGTGAGCCCCAAGCCTATTCTTGGGTCTGTTTTCTATCTGCTTTTGGCTTCCCTTAGAGACCCCCTGCTAATTTGTGGTCAAGAGTCCTGTCAATATTCTCCATGCAGCACAAAAGTCTTCCATTCATATTGTCATTGATTAGCCCCGGTACTAACTTTTAAAACACTATTGAGAGAGGCCTATTGGATGTCGCAATACCTGAATTAATCATTTGACCTGTATACATCTTTATGTGACTGGGCACTATTTACACAAACAATGGGAGTTGATTATCAGGAAAAATTTACAATAATACTCCCTGATGATGTAAATTACAGGTCGGTGGAATAATATGTATCTCAGTAGAGCAAGTAGGGCGTTGAAGTACTAAGTCAATGTTGGTCTTGGTGTAGCTGTCTTCTGCTTCTTCAAACACCATGAAGTTTCTGTCTTAAATCCTCAGTTCACAAGTGCATTTGCAGTAGAGTCTAGTTCACTTAGTGGAGTTTCCCCATTGGGTCCCTCTGGTATGGCCTTTGGCATGTGTTATGTGCCTTGAAGATCCAGGGTTTAATGCCTCAATGTTCCATGGCATTTGGCCTGGATCTCAGGGCTGTCATCATATCTTGTGCCTCATCTTCGACTACTTCTCATTAAAACTGTGTACCTCACATATGCTATGCCACTTTTCTTCTATTCTTCTTTTTTTTTTAATTCATTTTATTGGCGGCTTGCACAACTCTTATCACAATCCACCATCCATCCATTGTGTCAAGCACATTGGTACATTTGTTGCCATCATCATTCTCAAAACATTTGCTTTCTACTTGAGCCCTTGGTATCAGCTCCTCATTTATATGTACTTCAGAAGTGATCTCGTCCAGGCCCAGGACTTCAGTTAGAATTATGATGATGACTTTTATTTTTAAATAACTTTTTGGGGGGTCAGATTTCCTTCCCAAGAGCTAAAAACCCTGATAGATAACTCAATCTGGAAGTCACAAAACAAATGAAAACTTATTCATAATAGCACATTATCTCAATTCGCCCCATCCAAATCTATTTTGTTGTTGTTTTGCCAGTAAACTCTGGTGATGTTTCAAGAAACACATTTAGTCTCCAGCCTTTCTACCTACTGGCTTGAAAGTGTTTTGTGGTTGTCCATTGCTCAGCCGAATGAAATCCAGACTGTCCAAGAAGATGTAAAATTCTCTCATGATCCTTTTGACAACCTCTCTGATTCATGTCCCTCGATTTCCCATTCACCTCTTATTTTTATGGAGACAGACTGCCATTGGTTTCAGCTATAAAAAAGCTAGTCGGTTCAAACCATTGAACTTTCAGTTAGCAGCCCAACAGTGAGCCCTCCTTGCCACCAGGTCTCGGCCCCTCAACAGAAGGAAGCAAGATTCTCACAACTCAACCAATACACAGCATCATGATACATGGAGAAATTACCAAAGTTGTCCAGGACTACGTTTTACTTGGAACTACAGTCAACACCCATGGGAGCAACAGCCAAGGCATGAAACAGTGTATTGCATTGAGCCAACCTGCTGCACAAGACCTCTCTTTAAAGTGTTAGAAAGATGTCACTAAGCCATGGTACTGCTCTCAGTGTCCCTTCCTATGTATGTGAAAGCTGGTCAGGGAAGGCCGGAGCCTGGAGGAGAAATGACACATTTGAATGATGACTGTGTTGAAGGCTATCAGTGGCACAGCGACCAGAGGACGCTGAGCAGGTTCAGATGCCGAAGGTTGTTGAGACTAAGACACATTAAGAAGCAAGGCCCTTGGATCATTTTTTTCCCTCATAGTTGTAATGGCCCGTGTTATTGCCTGACTGCCCATCCACTGGGAAGGCCCTGAGACAGGGACTGTGGCCTTCAGATTGGAATCATTTGGCCCAATAATAAAACACAGTTTGTTAAATCAGCTAACAAGGAAGAACCTGCTCTATCAATGTACAAAATCATTTGGAAGCTGTACACCCGTGGCCATGTCTCTTGTACAGGGGATCAAACAAATGTCTGTGCCCAGTTGGAGGAGGGATAAGGCAAGATTTGGACAGGTGGAGACTGGGGAGCAAGAGGAAGAAAAGGGGAGATTTAGGGGGAGGAGCCACTTGTGCAAATGGAAGACGTGTGATTGTGAAGTTTCACTGGACCATGAGGCATGTGAGCAGGGTGAAGGCGTTACAAGCTGGAAATGTAATTTGGCATGAGATGGGGGATGGCCTCGGAGCGTCAAGCTATGGTTAAGAAGGAATGCTTTTTCTTAAAAATAAATTCTATGATAGTTGTGAAAATCAAAAGGAAGCACGAAACACATGTAAGTCATAAAGCATGAATTTTAAAAAGTGCCCCAAGCCCAACACTCAACTCAAGAGGCAGGACATAACCAGTCCCCGGATCTCTCCACCTAATGCACCTCCTGCCTCCTGCCATGCTGCCTTTCCCCAGAGTAAACCACACTGGCTTTAAAAAAATAGCCAATAAAACACAGATGATTAAAAAAAGCAACAGTTTCATT